CATGGTATCAGGGTCATTCTTGCTGATGTCAGAGGTATCGTGGTTGAAAGCAAATAATATCAGAAGAATGTCTTTTTGTGCTTCATTGATTATGGAAAGGCATTCAAACTGTGTGGCCTATGAAAAGGCATTCGAATTGTGTGGATCATACTAAATCATGGCTAACACTGAGAAGAATGAAAATCTCAGAACACTTAAAAAAAATGTAGATAAATTGCAATTGTTGCTATGAATCAATCAATCAATCAATTGTAATTGACTTTTGTAATATGTCTGTAAGTAATTAATTAAATCTCAAGGCTCATGACATAAATGGCATAGTCGGCAGGGTCCATCGGTGTGGGCAGAATCCTCCACTGTCTAAGTAGCTCATGTCCATCAGTGTAGACCAGAGGTCTTATCTCTGAAAAGAGCCTTTAGGTCTTTGGCTCTAAAAAGAGCCTTTGGGTCTTCAGTGTTCAGCTCATTGTGATGTGCAGGGAAAAAAAAAAGAAAGAAAGAAAGGTGCTGAGCACAGCAGAGTTTTATCTTCTCTGGCTTCCCTCCTTTATATTATGGTGAGGCAAGTGGGGAATGCTTGGACATGTTAAAGAACAATATGGGTTTGACCAGTCATGATGAATACTAGTTGTGTTTCCTTGGCACATGGCAGTAACCAGTCATGTCTCCTTATCAAGGGTCCACATCTGTTGTGTTCAGTAGGGCCCCAGAGCCACTAAGTGTATGTTTTCACAAATATTCTTAACATAATTTCTAACAGCAAATTTCTAACGTATTTCTTATTTTAATTCTAACATATAATATAGCAAGTTAATCCTCACACATAATATAGCAAGTTCTTAACATATTTCTTATTTTAATTCTAACTTATAATATAGCAAGTTCTTAACATATTTCTTATTATTATATTTACAAGTTACACTCTCTTAGCTATGTGGGCAGTGACAAGTTACATTCCCTTATCAGGATTCACACATGCTGAGGTCAATAGCTCTACAGCAAATTGTTATCAGTTACGTTCCTTATCAAGGGTTTCCACCTACTGTGGTCAGTGGGGCTCTCAGCCTCAAAGAGGCCTATTTAGACATGTTAAACTACTAGTATATTTTTTCCACAAATATTCTTCTTTCTATACTTAAGCATCAAATTAATCATAATATTTCCATAGCAAAAATATGTCATAATGTGTTTTACAACAAATTATAGAAATTTATGGCATTTCATAATATGTGTTACAACAAAATTAATATATTGTTCTATACTTAAACTGCTCATAAGAGCTGGGTCATAGGGAATTTCTATGTTCAGCTTTTTGAGAAAATACCAAATTTCCTTCCAGATTGGTTGTACCATTTTACAATCCCACTAACAGTGTATGAGTTCCTATCTTACTACATCCTCTCCAACATTTATTACTTGCTACCCTGTTAAACTTTGCTACTGTTGCTGGGGTGAGATGGTATCTCATTGTGGTTTTGATTTGCGTCTCTCTTATTGCCAGTGTTTTTGAGCATTTCTTTATGTGTCTGTTGCCAAAGGAATCCAGTCTTAGTGATAACTCATGGTTCTCTGAAAATAGAGAGGCAAACAACTAGGAGGACATTGAGGGGATGGGAGGGAGTCTCAGAAACCCTAAGCCTGAAAAAAAAGAACCCATCCTAAAGTTCAATCCTCAGTC